ACTGAAACAAAGCGCAATCGGTAGGAAAATGCACGAACAATCGAATTAGAGAAGAAACAGTGAAGATCGAGACTATTGGTTGTTAATTTGCAAATTGACTGCACATTGTATGGTTTTCAGAATTTACTGAGATAGTCTGTAATCTTTGCTTAAATATATTCGACTGTCCCCAACCAGTGTACTGAGATAGTCTGTAATCTTTGCTTAAATATATTCGACTGTCCCCAACCAGTGTTCTGTTCACAACAGTATTATTTTTAGATAATGTAGATAGATCTTTGCCTCATACGTCATACATATGAAGTTCTTTTCATACCAAAGAAGCTAAAACTGAACTCTTTTAAATGTTTTAGAACCAGTTTTATGAATTCTGAACTTATACATCAAGCACTGCTTCCAGGTTTTCAACGGTAGTCTAGCTTCAATTGACTCATGATTTCAAATATAAAAGATGAAATTATGTTAGAATACATATTACTGAATATCTTTGAGATTGATGTTTTGATCTACCGGTGAAAAATTACAGATGTGTGACCTAATCATGCTATGAGTGAAGCTGTTACATACTTTCAACACCGAATGATGGTCTCACCTTGTCGAACTTATTTTGAAAAAAATAGCGAGTTCAAATTTAAAGTCTGAATTACATTAGTATATGCTATACGTTGATTTCTTCATTCAACTTTATAGAATTATTGGTGTTTAGGGAAAAAAAATTCTTTATTTAAGTGAAAACGACCGCTTAATGATCATTAGAATTTTCTGGTTTCATTTGCAAATATCAGTATATGAAAATTATTATCTTCAAACATACCAAACAGAATTGATTCGACATATATTATGAACGGTCATTTCGATAATTTTCATAGTTGAAAGCATGAGTCGATTGAAGCTAGACCACCATCGAATACCTGGAAACACTGGACGGCCAACTCGTCCTATTGTGGGACTCCTCAGCAGTGCGCATCCACAATCTCGCCTCGCGAGATTCGAACTCAGGACCCACCAGTCTCGCGTGTGAGCACTTAACCGATAGACCACTCAGCCGGTATCCGATGATGTTAATGTCTAACTTCAACCAATCCACGAAGTTGAGCAACCGTTCACCAATTGTCTTCAGTGAGTTACTATCTCACAACAGATGTGGTTGAACTCCACTGGTCACTGTTTCTCATTAGAACTCCAGGAAATTCCTCTCGAAGTCAGTCACCAGTGAGCATATGATTATTTTTATCAGAAGGGGTTTTCTGGAGATTTCGATAATTTCAAAGTTGAAAGAATGAGTCAATTGAATGAATATTTTATGAAAAGCATATTTCATGAAATTAATTCCATTTCTTTCATTTCACATAAGGATTTATAATTTCAGTCAAAAAAATGTAACTTCTAATATAATGATTCAGAAATTAATTACTTTACAATACCCGACTTATATAACTTTTTTTGATTCAGGAATACCTAAACCATCTGGATCCAGTTATTGACAGAATATACAACAGCATGATGTGAATTAGTTAACATAAATTTTCAGAAGTGATTAAGTCTGTTGAATTAACCAAACTGATTATAACGATAAAACCGTTATATGTAGTAATACAAATGTTTTCAAAAGTTTGTATTCACTTTTATGAATGCCTGGTTAACAATAATTAAAACCTACTTTGTTTTTTTGAAAATTATATTATCTGTATTTGAATGTGTAAAACCATAATTTTAAACAAATCACTTATATTCACTTAGTATTACTTGTTTGAATGTTTCCATTGATGTTTAGGTCTGCAACTGGTCAGTCTCTAATTGGCGTAGGTGCATACTGTGCGTATTGTCTTGATATTGCCTTATTTCGCAAGCATTATAAGCAAAGATGGATAGTGGCTAGCAGCGGAGTCCAGGACGCGCATTTCATCCTATTTGAGACTCAGTAGCTGAGTGGATAACGCGATGGAGTTTGAAGCGAAAGGTACTGGGTTCGAGTGAACATTAATTCTAAGATGAAGGTATATCCAGCTGACGAGTCACAAATAGGACGAAACACGTGTCCTGGATTACACAGCTAGCCACTATCTATCTTTGATTACAAAATCACTTATATATTTCTATTCTTAATTATGTTGGATAATTTGATTATCCAAAGTCAACCATTTTAAATTTCATTCATCTTAAAGAACCAACTTAGTATGTATATGTGGCTAAACATTGTAGTTATATTTTCCCAGGTTTAATACTATAAAAAATGTCTATCAATTTCATCTAAGACAGTTGAGAGTTGTTTAATATATTTCGTTTTCGTCAGATAGTTTATCGTTACACATGTAGCATTTAATGAATTTGTGTAACCAACTGTAAAGTTTCCCCTTATTTTTCTTTCCTACATTCAATTAATTAATTCTCACATGATGTTAAGACTAAAATTACAAATAATGTTAGGAAAGCAAGTGATATGGAATATTAAATTCATTAAAATATCAAATTTATATAAATTCACGGAAAGTTTATAACAAAGTTATGAAATATGGATGATCATGACTCATTTTGTGGTTCTAATCAGTAGCCATGATCTTAATCCAATCGATATTTGATTGGTAAGGGATTTAAGTTATGAAAACCGTTTAAAAGAAATATGCCTTGTTGACTTTTTTCCATATTTCTTTAAAGTATTTGTTACGTTCAAGCAAATTTTACACTTAAATTCACTTAGTATTGTATCAACTCTGAGATGCAGGCATATTCAGCTGACGAGTCCCGAATAGGACGAAACTTGTGTGCTTGATTCCAGTACTAGCCACTATCCATCTATGCTAACAACTTTTATACTTAAATAGAAATAAAGTAACATTTAGAATAATTATCTTTTTTAAGAATGAACAAAATCTTTATTAAAAGGTGTGAAAATACTTTCACAGTGAATAAAGTTAGTGATTTATTGTCATCAATAGTTCAATTTATTAATCTATTATCGTCACATAATAGTTTTTACGAACGTATCTGTGCAGTTGTTTAACACATATGGTATTATATTGGATTGTATGACGTAATCTCTAGAGGGTTCCAATACTAGTAACTTCCAAACCGTTTATTGATTACGTCATTCCAGTGTATTTTCCAAACTAATACTTTATTTATTATGTAGCTATCCCGTAGCTATATACGTGACTTAATGGTACTGACAAACAATATTATCGAAATTAAATTTATGGCATAAAGTTCCTTTTAAATACATTTTCTCTGCTGTTATATAAACTTGATTTGGTTAAATAGTATTACAACAAACTCTTAACCGATAAGCTTAAGGCTACAGTACTTAACTAGCGTAGAGAATTTTTCACCTAGCACTAATTCAAGTTTTGTTTTCCTTTCCTTAACTTACAGTTTGCGCAAAAAATAAATTTCAACTTGATCATCAAGTGATAAATTCTTAATTTACAAACTGTAGGGTATAATAATAAAATCCTTTTTTTCTGAAATGAAAAAAAAACTGTATTCTAAAAAGATTTTGATACATCCTAATTATTGATACCGACTGAATACAAAATCGATAAAATCTTGATAGTAATCTTGACAAAATATGTCTGGAACATTCTTATATCAATTGATTTTTCAGCCTACAAAAAAAGAAGGTTTCATTTAATTTTGTCTTGAAAAGTAGCCCAAAATGGTTCTAATCATGAATATAAAACAATATGGCTAATAAAATATCATAATTAACTGCATTTATTTTGGTTTGAAGTTTCAAAATATTTACAAGTGTTAATGTAAATCAATAATTCCTTTCATCTAAACCAGGAAAACAAATCTTTCTTTTTAAAAAATTAAGCCATAGCAACTAATTTATTATCAAAAGGGGGGTTTTTCGGAGATTATAGTAATGAATATAGAATAAATTACTATTTCATTTTGATGAAATATCAGTTAACGAATAAATATGGTCGGTTTGATAATACTTTTTTATACTATAATTCTCCAAAGTTATAACAAATGGTTATATATACATACCTTTTAATGTCATCTATTGTGACATTCAGGAAAAGAGGATAGTTTATTTAGATATAGAATATAACAGAATGAAATTGTTCAAAACTTGTATAACAATAAAGCTCAAAGTTACTTTAAACATTGGTAATTCTCTCTTATGGACATTATGATAGAATATGTGAAAATTATTGAAAAGTAGAATTCAGTCCACGGATAGGCAACCCCGTCAGATTTTTATCAATCTGTTCTAGTAAAAAACTTGTCCGACTATACTCTAAAATCTTCAATATATATATATATATATATATATATATATATATATATATATATATATATAACTGAATGAGAAGTTAGGGAGGAAAATATACTTGCGAAAATTTTTATTAATTTTTATCAATCTACTTATATAATGTCGATGATTGTAATTTAATATAAAAATGCCGGTTCACAGTATTTTTAATCATAAATATTCATAAAAATACTCATAAAGGGAATGTAATAATAAATAGGATTAAACGTTTACTACCTAATTTAATATCTATCAATATGGGATTGTAGAGATAATTAAGTTTTTTGATTGAGATTGTGAATCGATTGATTTGAGGACACCGTTGAAAACATGGAAGCACTAGACGGTTATCTCATCCTAGTATGGGACTCCTCAGTGGTATGCATTCATGAGCCCACACGCGAGATTCAAACCCAGGACCTTCGGTTTCGCAAACAAACGCTTAACCTGTTGACCACTGAACTGATATACAATGGTGTCAATGTCTAAATTCAACCGATTCACATAATTGATCGATCATTCTCCGTTCTCTGGCTAAGTGATCTAGAGGTTAAGAGTTCAAGAGTGAGATCGAAGGTTCATACTACGACAAAACGGCCTTTAAGGGCTTCCATGTTTTTAATGGTGATTTAATATCAATCGATTCATGATCTCAATCAAAAAATAATCATTTAATATTTATCCATAAATGTAACAAATGATATATTATTTCTATTTAAAATAATGATTTATAACTTACCTATAGTAGTAATAACAGTAACAGCATATAATAAAGCTCCAGTCAATGTCCATGGATCTCGATATTCTTCAATAACACCACTTGATGATAATCTATTTGAATAATTATTTGTTTGAATTCTATTATCACATAAACATTTTGTTTCATTCAAACAATTACATGTGGTATTTTGTAGCTGATTTACTTGACTACTATCATTATTATCACTATGATTATGCTCAATGTTTTCCAATGTACAATTATTATATTTATAACATTGTAAATATGTATTTGAATATTTGTTCTTATTATTCATTATTAAATTATTCATTGAATGTACCGGTTTCCAACCAGCATTACATGCATCATATGTTGTATGTATTAATTTTTCAATTAGTTCATTTGTTTTAAACATAATATATTCAGTATGATATTTTAAATTAATTGTAAAATTTTTTTCAAATTCTTTTAATAATTTCATATTCATATTTATACTACTATTATTATCATTATTAGTAGTATTATTTTCAGTAGTAGTATTATTATTTATTTGGTTATTTGGTATAATTGGTTTAATCAAATTTTGATTAAATTTTTCTAATTCAATTTTAAAATTAGCGGGATTTATTGAAAAATCATAATCAATTAAAATTTTCATGATATCATTTTTCCATTGAATTTCATTATGATACCAATTTTGAACATTCTGTATACATAATTTTAATGATTCATGATGAAAATTTATAAATAAACGTTGTATATTCATTTGATTTTTAGTTAATTCAGTAGTATAATTATGTATTAAATTAGCTTGATAATTTTGTTCAATTGAACGAAATAATAATGCACCTAATGAACAATAACCAACTACAACTAAACAAAGACCAATATGTGAAAATAAAAAAGCTATAAATGATTTAAAATATTTTTTAAATTTTTTACATTTTAAATTTGGCGGTTTTTGTTTAATTGATATATTATCATTTTGTTTTAAATGATCAGAGGTATTAGCATGTTGATTAAATAGATGAGTACGTCTACCTTTAATTGGACGTAATGGTGTACAAATTTCATTATTGGAATCATGTTTCTCAGGTGAAATCATTGATTGTTCTGTTGTTTGTTCAATTAAAGAACTATGACCTCTTTCATCTATAATATTTTTAGTAGTTTTATCATTTATCTCTGGTATTTTAGATTTGTTAAATCCATAATGAGGTTGATTTGAATTATCTTCTAAAATACTTTTATTCACATCATTTGACCCTTTTGAAATATTCTTATCTGGATTGATTAATCTGCTTTTTGAAGATGTTATATTCGATTCTAATAGATCAGATTTATGAACAATTTTTTCTTCAGTATCCATAACACGTTTAAATCGTGGAATGTTGGATTGTGGTACTTGAGTTGCAACAAAGTGTACAGTTGCCATGATGATAAAAAAAATCAAAGGAAAAATATGCTTAAAGAAAGTTTTATTGATTTTATTGGAAAGTTAAGTTCAAAAGCGTTTACATACAGTTGGAAAGTAACTGAAAATTAAACTAGGAAGTAAAGTTTATATATATATATATATATATATATATATATATATATAATAACGAATCATCTATAAGATAAACAAACATGATAATAATTGAATGTTGATTGGTTGTACGAAAAAATTGTGGAGATATTCCATAAATATCTTAGAAAATTTGTAGCACATTAAATCAAATATAGCTTTCGTAAAAGTACTGCTTCAAAAATATTTTCTGTTTGATAATTCCAAAATATATATTTTACCATTCGGTTATTATACATTGGAACAGACAGGTGTTATACAAAATAACAACAATCGAGTATACAGTTTTTAGCATCAGGTAAGAATACTATTGGTTTAAAACTGATTTAATCTGCAGTAATATTAGTCAACAGTACGTTCGTCAAGAGAGTAAAATGATGATCTAAAAGGATGTTTGATTAAGTTTAAAAACATAACATTGGATATAAGGTGTCTTTATCTAGATGTTTCCTAAAAAACATTGATAAACAAGTACAAATCGGTCGTTTTTTTTAAAAAAAAGAACAGTGTACTGTTTATTACATAGATTACTTCTGTCTAATACATCCTAAATATGTTATATTAATTAACCAAAGATAAATCAATTTCGTAGTTGAATTCATGACTCGGTTGATGCTAGACCACCATGGTAAACTTGGAATCACTAAACGGCCATCTCATCCTAGTATGAGACTCCTCAGTAGTGTACATTCACGATCCCACATGCGGGATTCTAACTCAGGATTTTCTGTCTCACATGCAAACGCCCAACCTGTTGATCACTGAGCTGGCATTCAACGGTGTTAATGTATAACTTCAACAATCTCCGAAACATACCCAATCTGATAAATTGATTTCGAACGAGCTTTTTTAAACAGTTTTTCAAATATTATCACCTGGTTAAGATGAACAAATACATAGCTATTAAGTGGAATAACTTGAAATGTATAAATTATAGGTAAAAATATATTTCAATGACAAATACGAATCTAATGGTCTTTCTTTTCTAATCAAGAACGGTAAAACTGTCAACTATTCCTGCTCTGTATTAAACTTTTATCTTTACATGTTTATAGTGTTAAAGACTTTTAGTCGAGCGACAAAGAATAAACTATAGACAGAGTTTGTGAGTATGATAAAAATTAATGATAACCATAATATAGTCATTTTTCGATTATGTAATAAGAAGACGAAGATTATCAGAACTATGTGATGATATATTAGCGCAATACATTTCGAACACTCTGATCACACACATACTTGTTAAGATCATTAATATATAAAAATAAAAGAGTAGAGGATAAACCACCATCAACCTTTATCGCCAAATATATAATCGAAACAGGTCATAAGATTTATCTTAACTCGGCTTTTGTAGTGTTGTATAGAAGTGTAAAAGGGAGTATACTAAGGTTTATTGAAGCCTTAGCCATACAAAAATTCAAACCCCCTTTGTGTATTCAAAAACAGTTTGTTCTCTTCTTAAACCTAACCTGGTAATATTAGCTTATTATTATTAGCTTTTATTATTACCCAGTGTTTCCAGGTTTTCCATGGTGGTCTAGCTTCAATTGACTCATGCTTTCAACTATGAAACATACTAAATCTCCACAAAACCCCTTCCGGTATTATTATCCTTGTCTATTCTTACCCCCCCCCCATTTCCAGTCTAGTTGACCTTTTATTTTTATGTATAAATGTTCTTAACAAGTATATCTGTGATCAGAGTGTTTGAAATGTATTGAGTTAATATATCACATAGTTCTGATAATCTTCGTCTTTTATTGCATTATCGAAATTTATCAAAGGGACTAATTGCTTTAAATAGTCATTTTTGATAATTATACATTATTTAAGAAGAATATTACCGATCATTACCTTTTGAAAAAAAAGAAGCGGAACTTTCACTTTTAATGCATCTATGAGTTCCAAAATGCAATGAACGTTTCAGTAATCAATTAAGATGTTCGACATTACTGAAATTCAAAATATTTTAAGGTGTTGGGAAACCACTTACATCATAGTGCTTTAAGTTCAGAAGATATTTCAAGTTTCTATGATAAAAATTGCTTTAATCAGCTAGGCACTTAAAATCATTCATATTATAATATTTACAGAAATGGATAAGAAGTTTGTTTCTAGGGAAAACATTAATTATTCATTGATTAAGAATAGCGTTTCATAGTTATGTATATTTTGAATATAAATCATTTTGGTATAAAATTTGTTTGTCACGAAAGTATAGAAATATGCTACTTCGATTTAACTTGCATTCATCTTCTAAATAAATTTCATTTTTAAAAAAATAATAGAAATGGATTCGACCAGCTATGCTAACAAAACTCAAGAGTTGATCCAATTTTTTTATTTTTTTTTTTGGTTACATAACTGTTAGAAACTTGATGATAACTGTTACTAATGTAAACTATTATTACAGTTTTATTCAGAAAGTAATAAATATATTTTTATAGTTGAAATCATGAGTCAATTGAAGCTAGACCACCATGGGATACCTGGAAGCACCGGACGGCCGTTTCGTCCTATTATGGGACTCCTCAGAGGTGAGCATCCACGATCCCCACCCCGCGAGATTCGAACCCAGGACCCACCAGTCTCGCGCCAGAGCACTTAACAGATAGACCACTGAGCCAGCACTCAACGGTGTTAATGTATAACTTCAACCAATCCACGATTATTTCAACTATGAAAACACTGAAGTCTCCACAAAACTCATGATGCCGTTGAAATGAATCTTCTATACATAAATCATTCCTACAAAACAGTTCTTTGATGATAACCAATAAGTTATACATGAATATATGGTCATTTTATCGAGTACTACTATACTATATAGTCGTCTTCCCATTTTTCTTCAGAGATTATGGTGCATGAATACTTGTTAAAGATGCGTTCATTCAGTAACTTTTTATGAGTATTGAAGAGTAGTATTCAAGATTTCCACCTCTTTTGAAACTTTACAGCTGCATGTATTTGCATCAGTGTTTATTTTCAGTTGTAACTTGAACTTAGAACCAGATTGCTTCAAATGATTAAATTCAAACAGCTACGAAATGGCTCAACAATGCAGATATTATTATTTATTAAATATTTTATTCTCTCATCACTAATATTCTGGATGAAATTATAGTAATCTCAATTTCTTCAAAAAGTAGTATTAATAATAAGATATTATTAGAACACAAATTGGACGAGTATAACTCATTAGATTGAATTCACTGTCTCTTATCAGAGAAATTCGTCCATTGCTTTCATTTCAGTCTTTCAATGTTGTCTGGTTAACCTGAATTAAAGTGACTAATTAAGACAAAAGTAACCTATAAAAATAATACTCTGGAAGAAACCGATTTTGGTGGCTGGTGTCACTCGGTTACCTAATAATATGAAGATCGGATAAATAATGGAGTCAAGTATCAATGTCGTCGTTACGATGAACATGAGTATATTTAGATAAGAAAGTATGCTACATATTTCTCACCTACTTGACGAGTGAATAAAAGTGATGGAGCTACCGTCAAATGTGTTTAAATATCGTGAAAATTTTGCAAGTCATTTTCACATAGTGTCCCATTTTTCCAAATATACTTTTACAGATTTGGTCACATTATCTTCGGTTCTATCAAATCTAAATTTCCGCTTATTGCAAGCACTGGGTAAAATGTATTTGAATTGCATTGAGAATGGACATAACATTACTCTTATAATTTGATTTAAGATAGTTAACATTTATGACAGAATAATGTCTCATCAGACTCTCCAATCGGTGCATTTAAAGATACAAAAGTATTTAAAATTATTACATCCAGCTTAAATTTGAACCAGGGAAAGGAAGATCATTTTTACTACAGGATAAAGAAATATGCTAAATCTTCTAGATAATTCACGTTAGGAGTATTGTGATCAGCATTAATAAGTCATATTATAAATTAAAGTACTTTTTACCCCTGTTGAAATGTTACATACAGTGGTAGAAATTTAAGAAACTAGTATCTTACCTGTAACTGTGAAAAGTTATCCAGATTATGTAGTGAAATGAATCATAATTTAAAATCCGTACACTTTCAACGCCTTAGATAACAGCCTTAAATGTTTGGTATAAAGTAAAGCCACGAGAAGATTAATATTTACATAGAAGGGAGTAATCTTATCATTGGTTAATTTTAACCTTTAACATAACTACGTCATATATATATGTATATATGCACCTTTAATATAAAAGCAGATCGTTTATTCTAATTTAAGGTCATTGAATTAGTAAACAAATCATATATTAAGCAGTTCAACACTTCACATTGGAATTTATAAGCAAACATGGCATAATGACATTTATTACTCTTATTGACATTTTTTTCATTAGATGAAAGTTTTCGTTGGATAATAAATTATCGAATCATTTTCTCTCCTGATACACAACACAAGTGACTATACTTCTGGTTTTTCTTCTTCTTTTGTTTTTAAAACACACACAATTAATAAATGTCAGAAGGGGTTTTATGGAGATTTCAGTATTTTCATAGTTGAAATCATGAGTCAATTGAAGCTAGACCACCATAGAAAACCTGGACGCACTGGACGACCGTTTCATCTTATTGTGGGAGATTGAAAATAATTTTTAAAAAAAGAATCTGAATATCATTTTATCGTTTTTATTTATATTTTTATTATTTTTTTAGAAAAATGAAATATTCTTTCTTAATTGTGAGATAAAATGGATGCCGACTCAGTGGTCTATCGGTTAAGTGCTCACGCGCTAGACTGATAGGTCCTGGGTTCGAATCTCATGAGGCGGGATCGTGGATACGCACTGCTGAGAAGTCCCACAATAGGATAAAACGGCCATCTAGTGCTTCCAGGTTTTTCATTGTGGTCTAGCTCCAATTGACTCATGATTTCTACTACGAAAATTAATGAATGATTTTGAAATTATGTTGATTTCAATAGCTGAATCCATCTCAGGGACCTTTAAAATGTTACTACTTAAC